GTGTGTGTGTGTGTGTGTGTGTGTGTGTGTGTGTGTGTGTGTGAGTGTGAGAGAGAGAGAGAGAGAGAGAGAGAGAAAAGTGTGAATTAGAAAACAGTGTGAGCAATAATAAAGAGATTGTGCAGAACTCCGCAACAGGATTGTGTATATCTGTGTGTGTCCATATCCATGCACAAGTCATAACCCACAGCAATGAATAAATAAAAAAGTGTGTGTGTTTCAGGTTTATATTCACATGTTCTAAGCCGGTCGATTTGTGGCTTATGCCTTTGCCTCACTCTGTGTGTGTTTATATTTGCCTTTTCCCTCCTGCAGAGAGAAAAGTGTGTGTGGCCGCAGGTCTATCCACATGCACCTCTCTCATGCTTGAAGCTACCTGCTGAGGGACTAATCCATTGAATCGCTGGCATTTTGGTGTCCTGATCAGTGTAGAGATGATGAGAGGAGGCAAAAGAGATGGACTGGTAGCTGAGTCATCAGCTGTCAGCAAAACAACGGCAAAACTCATCACTCAGATGAGAGCAGAGGACACACACACACAGAAAAAAAATCTGCTGATTTTAGGACAAACATGTCTATATGATTGCACCGATCACTTATGAACAGCAGAGGGCAATCCATTAACACTGAATAGGCAGCAGCATGGTCAACAACCCTTGAGCAGTCTGATGAAGCCTAAGTTACTGTCCACTGATCCAAGCCGCTGCAAAACGTTTACATTTGCACACCACGATTGGTGGCTGGCCTAACCCCAACCCTTCTGAAGGTTACAGGATTTTTAAGAGGGAGGCTTGCATGTGAGCACAGTGAAAGTTAGTCAAATACATTCATTTTTGCAGCACCTGCAACAAAAACCTGGAATAGCAAACATGCTGCTTGTATTGTGTGGCCAATGCTGACCAGGAACAGAAATGCATGCATTTTCAGAAACGCGTACAACATTTACCGTTTCTGCTTTCAGACCTCTGAAGCAGACATCATTATAGGAGATAACCCTAACTTAACCCTATCTGCTGGAGAAAGGCAAAACTGATTTTTCTTTTTCGGATGTGTCATTTTAAACAATGAGTTTATTTGTTCCCTGATTGCCAAGACTTAGGATAACAGTAAGAGCAAAAATTACATTCTGTGATAGCCTAGAGTTAGAATCAAGGTTTTCACCTTTGATGACTTAGACCTCAGATGGTGATGTCAGCACACTAATTTGCTGACACAAATTTTCCTAGAACTTTGGCACTACTGTGAAAAACAAACAATGTGCTGAGGGGAGCTTGCAAGATATTAATTTTTGGGGAAGCTAAAAAACCTGGAAAATATAAAGCTAGTGTAGGTCGAGAAGTAGAAAGTCTCAACATGTCCCTAAGGTTTGGAAGAGAAGTTTTGGTTTTTGGGTTGTTGTTTTTTTGTTGTTGCTTGTTTTATCAGTTTGGATTGTTAACTCGCAACTTTTTAATCAGCTTTACTGCAACGTTACGCCCACACCATACAGGACATGATGTCGTTGCTCGCACCGACAATAAGCACACAACCCACAGGTGCCTTTGTCTGCTGATTTAAGTCAGAACAGTGTGTGTCCTTAAAATAACGCTAAAAAAGAGAAACGTCTTCATTCAGCATTTCTGCAGTAGTAGAAAGGAATGAGCTATTTATAAATTAATATTACTGCACTAACAACCAGGCAAGCTCCAACAGCTCAGCCAGTCATTAGGATCTTTTTATGTATGGTTCCTGTCAAGAGTTTATGTGCACTCATTATGGTCATTGTTTTAACAATAATGGGATTTCATTGAATTCTCCAAACTCCCCTTTCTCTGTGGCTCAGAGACCGCACAGCATGCAATTGTAAGAGTCAAGTTTCTTAATTTTCTCTTAGTGATCATGACTGACTAAAGCTGGGATCTTCCCTGGGCTTTTACCGCACTCATTGGACTGAAAAACATAGTGAAATAGACCAGTGTGATCAATGCATATCTGAAAAAAACAAAAAACAAAACAGAAATGTCTCCCCTGCACCCTCTACCGTCAGCCAGGTTTTCACCCACCCCTGAGATGGGTGACGAAAGAGGCCCCAAATCGACACTTTCAGTCTTGACTAAAGTTTGTGGGTGATCATATGGACAATCATAAAGACTTTTATGTTCACATGAGATAAAAATGAAGGTATCTTGCCATAAATATCAGAGTTTGAATGAGTACCTAAAACTGTACTGCAGAGCATGATGGGGTTAGCATCATTTCCTGGGGCTGTTTTGCTACCAGTGACTTTGGCACAGTGAACAGAGTGATTGCAATAATAAAGTACATTAAAAGCTCATTGGAGAAATCTGGTTAAAACAGGCCAAATAGCATTTGAAAACCTGAACTCTGACCATTGTTACAAATAGACCATTTAACTCGCATATTAAATCAGACCAGTGCCAGAAAATTTTTGATGGCTTTTGAACTTGTCAGAGATTTACAATTAACAAACAAACTTTTATTTCAGAAAACCAAAACTTGTGAACTGCACTCTTTTTGAACTCTTATAAAAGGTGTATTTTATAAATAATTATTCCACAGGAAAAAAAATAACCGTTTGGAAAAAAAACATTCAAGCCCAATACTGTAAAAGTAACACTCCATGTAAACTCCAACTGTAGGCAATTAATCCCTCTGATGGAGATTTATCCTGATTTGGGTCTGAATCAGTCTGTACCAGTGTCAGTCTGGATTTAGACCTCTTGACAAATAAAGCTTGACCAAGAATTAAACTGGTACCTCAGTCTCAGTTACCATCTGAGACAGACAGTCTGTGCATGTGCCTTCAAAATCCAACATAAATGTCAAAGACTTTCCCTTTGTAATGTTGTGTTAACAACCTCTTTTATCCTGCAAAGCATTCTATACACAATCTTATCTAATCTTATCTGCCTGAATAACATGCACACACACTCATAATTATTTTTTATCCCCACCAACAGCAGGGAGAGAAAGGCTGGGGAATGTTCACATGAATTCAGCCATGCAGTAAAAAGCTCCAAGGATTGCCTTTGTGAGCATTTTCTTGCACTTTTACTCTCCGGTAAGCTAAATGCTTCAAGCTAAACATAAGGCAGAGGAGCCATTTTAGAGTTATCAAAGTGCCTTTGGCACTACATTTTCAACACAAAGGTAATAGTGACCAAACAATTTTCCTCAAGCTGGGGAAGTCTCAGGCTCCTCTATGTAAATATGAGTGCATACTGTTTATATGTCTATTAATGGGGCTCACACACTATAGCACTTCTTTTCTATGACTGTCCTGAGCTAACTCATTGCAAAGACTGACTTAATTTTTTTTCTTCCCAATAACAATTTAGAAAAACCATCAACTTTCGTCCAAGCCCCGGAAATGTCCAGAATTCCAGTAATTTAGTAAGGTCCTTAACCTCCCTCCTAAAAGCCCCTATGACCAGGGTAAACACACTTTATAGTAATCGAACTGTGCCATACTGGAGCTGTCAGTCAGTGGGCACATGGCCAAACCACAGTAAAACCCGATGTTCAGCGATCTTGTCTTGTCAGTACTGTGGGACACTCACATCCAAGGCAGACATTATCGACCACCAGAAAATGTCACCGAGAAGTCCTATAGCTATATCACACATGACAAGATATAACGAAAAAGGCCAAAAAGTAAACTGTATAGCAATGAGCAATGGCCCACTGTACACTGATAACCGCAGTGGCAGGATTTTAGATTATATGTCACAAATGTTCACACAAAAGAGGAAATTTTTGGTGCTGGCACTAAAAAGATTTTAGTTAAAGCCAAACGGGAAATCTCCAACTTTGCACTTTTTTCACACCAATTTTGTTCATTTGAGTGTCATTAAATCACGCTAAGCAAATGGTCAGAAATAATCTCATCAGTGGCCCTTATTCCAGAAACCGGTATGAGGCTGTGTGGTCTGAAACTTACTCCGACATTTGGCACAGCGGCCCTTGTCGTACTCCAGCAGGTCCAATGTCCGGCTTCGATCGCTGACTGATCGCCTCTGCCCGCTCTCCCTCAGCCGAGCAGCCTCCTCTTTGGCGTACACCCCGAGCTCCTGGGTGTAACGCCCATACATCTGGAAATGGACACAGTCATATTTTTAGGTTTCAAGGGACATACATATTAAACATGCCCCTAAACGTCAGTAACAAATCAAAAATACAGTTCAATGAGGATCACCAAAAGTCTATATCAACACAGGAGGCGTTCAGGTGCAGTCTTAAGCGTAGGTCACCTGCCTCTTACAACTGCTCAGAGCTCGAAGTGCAAAATAAATAGAAAATGAAAAACAGATGTGATGCTCTGGTTACTTGGAGCTCCTGGTTACTATTATGTGTGCAGTGAAAACATGGCATGAAAACTGCAGTACAACACTTTCTGTGTAAATACAACATGAGATACACTCTGCTGAAATTCTGCCCTATGCTTGTGATGCATTAACTTGAGTTTTGATAGCGGCTGCTCCACTCAGCATCCCAGGCCACATTCTTCCACCAAAGGATAACTCTTTTAAAATGGCGCCATTCAAATACTGCTGTTGATGCGTAAGATCAAGTTAGGGTTAGGTCTGGGTAAATTTAACCACAGTTAAGCATAAAAGATTGATTTCATTAAGAAAAGATTGACTTTCAAGAAACGTTACACTGTAGTATTATATAATACTCCTTATGACTCAGTGTTTGTTTACTCGATGGGTTCCTCCTGTGTGTTTGAGATCTTACTGTATGTCTATTAGCTTGGTTTGCGTCCTCGCTTTTTCACAGGTTTACGTAATAAATTTATTCTCAGCAATAGACTCAGTGACTCCTTACTGGCTGTAATCTGTGACCTCAGTACAGGAACCTTCCATCTCAAACTGACTCCCTCCAAAAGCTGCATCACACACACACACACACACACACACAC